ATTTCCTTTATGGTTGCCTGTTGTTATTGTAGCTTTTATTATATTTGGGTAGAAAGCTTGACAAATCAATCTTGTGCCATTGCACAAGCCATTTGCTGGATCTAAGTTACGAAGACACATAATTGGTGTATCTATTTTCAGATGTAATTCATGAGGAGGAAGACCGTTTGGTGTTATAGAATTAAGAAATTATTGTTGATAAAGTCCATAAATATCGTCTGGAATAGAATCGTAACTTTTGTATATTAGCGTGTCTTCAGGTGTTTGGTTCAAGATTATTTGATTTATTTGATCAACATATTCATTCTTAGTGGTAAGAATTGTACGATTGGTTAAGTGTGAAATATCTAGATTATGGTTTGTCATGTTTGGATAAATATATTCTATAAGAGTTTGTAACGATTCTTCATTTTCCCAAGGGACAATCATGTAATCAGTAATGCAAACCATGTTATTATTAATAGTTGGTTCAGTTCCATTTCCAATATTTAACAAAAAGTTTTTAAAGTGATTTTGGTTATTATCATTTTGAATTCTCATGTTAGTTTGGAGTTGGAAAATTTCAATAGATGACCATATAGGAGACCGTTTTAAAGAAGCATTTATTATTTGTTCATGACTACCTCTTGGGACAACTGGTAATATCTAACAGAAGTCCACGCCGAAGACTATCAATTTTCCACCAAATGGAAGTTCACTTTCCATCAAATCTTTAAGAGTTCTATCTAAAGCTTCTACAGCATGACAGTGTGCTATAGGGATTTCATCCCATATAATTAGCTTAGCTAAGTGTAATAGTGAAGCTAGTTGACTTTATTTACTTATATTACATGTTGAATTAGAATCAGGATTTAGAGGTATATTGAATCTGGAGTGGGCAGTTCTTCTTCAGGCATAATCAGCATAGCAATGCCAGATGAAGCTATTGCAAGAGCAACAGAAGATTGTGAGCGAATTTTACTAAGTAAACAAAGATAAAGAAAAGTTTTTTCTGATCTAGCAGGCTCATCAACAAAAAAACGCCTGGTTGATTTTTTTCAACATGGTCTATAACTTTGTCAAATATTATTTTTTAATCTTTATTTAGTAGAGCTATTTTTTCTAAATCATTATTATTTGTTAGAATATTTAATTCTTTCAATAATAACCTTAGTAGTTCGTTATATTATTGTTCTCCTGATAAGTCAAGCGAAGGAAGATCAAATTCATTTAGTTTTCTGTATTGTTGTTCTAAAATAGTTTTGATATGAAGTAAAACTGCATTAATATGGAGCTGATTTCCAAGAATCTCATTTTTTATAAAATCTTCAGACATAGCGGCAAAGTTTTCATCCCATAAGGCCTAAACATTTTCTGGTTTCCCAAATATTAGAATGATTGCAAATAACTGTCTCAAGGTATATGGCATTTGAAATAGGGCTGCTTCTTGCATTGCATTATTGTATAGATTTTTGTTTTGTATTATTCCACACCTTCGCACTTTCTTGAAAAGTTGCGCACAAATGGCCTCTAATGTTCTTTAGATCAACAAAGGAGGTAGCTCCTTTTACATGGTTTAGAAGTAGACGTAAATAATATTTGTCTTCTTCATTTGGATTTACTGCATATATTCTTCCACCATATTTTTTTGATAACGTTTTGACCACTTCTTATTTTTTTTGTTCCAAACGTAATAAAGTGGAAATTCACGATATAAGTAATTTTTTGTATCAGGATCATTTTTTTCATTTCAAAATACTCAGTTAGCATTGTTTTTGTATTTAGATCATTGTCAATTATTTCATTAATACTAACATCTTGAGAAAAAATTATAGTTTGTTGTTGGGGGAAGATGGATTTTTAGACAAATTACTGATAGGTTAATTTGAGACATATTGAATCCAAAAATTCGCCAGCAGGCTTCTGGGGCCGAAATCCATCTAGCATCTAAGTATTGACTTATTTTATCTTTATTAGTTATTTGTGCAGCTCGGTTATCTTTATTAGTTATTTGAAGTGCAGCCCGGTCATGTTCCTTGTACACATATTTGTACAAATATTTGGTTGACTTAATGCTTGAGCAAATTTCAACGTTAATGTGACAATCATATTTAAAAGATAAGTAAGGGTTATAAGGGATAACTGAATGATTGTCTAACCATACATTTCTACACAACACTTGACGTCCGTTATTGCGACAACGATATATTGGATAAGAGTCATCTCCTTCTCTTGTAGTTTGTTCAAATTTTTTAGAAAAATGCTTAGTACATGAACCATTTTTCATTCAAGGTGCTTTGGGATTAGATTGTCCACATGGACCGTGCATCATGTTAAATATTACAGTTTGTTATAATCTTAGATCTGTTTCCGGGTCTGGTATTTCCGCAGAGATAATAGTATCATAATCATCAGCTCCATGATATTTGTCATTTGGATGGATAATTACTAATAAATGTGCATGTAGAAGTTCACGTTTTTGGAATTCTATTACATGCATATGTGCGATTACATGACCAAATATACCTCATTCAAAGATATCTTTTGTAATTTCTTTTAATTTGGCACGAAATATTCGAGCTGCAAGATTAAATGTGTAATATATATGTTGGGTTAGATATACTAAATTTGTTATTATTAGTTGCATAATTTATATCAATACCAGGTCATATGATAGTTGGTTATATGTCAAGTGACATATTGAAAGTTAAACTAAATATATTTTTAAATGTTGTTTTGATTCAATGAAATCTCAATTTCAATATTGTGATTTAGACAGAATTTAGGCTGTTCGAAGTTGATTCTTCGGTTAACATTACTTTTTAAGATACTTGGGGAGAGTAAAATGAAACGAACATATAAAATAAATAAATATGGATCAATTTCATTAGTCGATATAAATCAAGTGGTCGGCGAGATGTTTATTTTTTGGAGAAAACTTCAACTGGGGAAGTAATATTAATCAAAGAATTAACTACAAATGGCCTTAATAGAACTAAGAATTTTGATTAAATTTAAAATTTAATCATATAAATAAGGAACAATTTAGATATTAAGATTTTAATATGGCTGCTTGAAGTTGAATTTTTGGTCTTGAAAGAGCGAAAGAAATACATTTAAAAATTATTTGCGTTTTGATTAGTTCATTTTTTGGGAAGAAACTTTAATTGGAAAAAAAGATGTTAACCAAAAAATTAACTTCGAACAATCTTAATTATCTTGTTAATTAAATAAACCTAAATTTATTGAATTAAATATTAATATAAAAATCTATATACCTGTAAGATCAGGTCTATCTTGTGAACTTTGTCCTGATAATAGTTCAGAAGAAATCTCAGGCCACCTGGGATTACAAGTAATAGTGATGAATAAGTCGGGTTTGCCAAACGTTTGGACTAATGCTATAGAATCTTGATAACGTTGATATATGTCACGTGGACTACCTATAAAAGATGAAGGCAAAATTGTCTTAGTTCCTATTTCAGATGCACTTGTTATTTCTAATTGGTATGTGTCATGCAAGCCTTGATAGAGTTCTTTATGAAGTTTATCTTGATTTGAACGTAAATAATTAAGTCGTTCAGATTTAATTTTGATATAGTTGTCGACAACATATTGTTGAAAAAGTCATCCTCCAAAATGAAGTAATAATGGAGAATTCTGATATATTTGTAATTTGTACGCATAGTACTGTTTAGTAGTTACTCTTTTTTGTAACTTATATTGCAGTATTTCAGGGTGCCAACCGTGTTTGCCTTGTGGAAATAAGAGTAGATATTACATTGGGTCATAAGACCCGCTCAGTTCAGAAACATGTTGTAGCCCATTAAATTTCGACTCTACAATGATATCTCATTTCATACGATTTGTAGATTCATAACCTTCCACCCAAATTGCTGCAACTTGTGAAGCTGTTGGAACGTTATAAGTCCGTTGATCTAAACCATGGTTAGCTTTAACAAGAAGTCAAAGGTTTATTATGTTGTGATGGAAGGCGATTAAGCTGAAATTGGCAACAAATAGATTGTATTGGTTTAGTATTGACTTGATAACTTCTAAAGTTTCATGTCGAAGTTTAGGCATAATAGTAAGCCTATTATTTGTTTTGTGTTTAGTATCGTAAATATATAATTGCAGAAACTTTGGCGTTTTATTATTAGGAAGAAGACCCAATTAAATAATATATGCTACCTTAGATTTGAAATGTATATACTCTATCCTTTCCTAATAAGAATTCAATAAGTAAATTTTATTATACATGTATTATTTGTTTGGAACATTAATTAAATCATATCTGATTTTACCATTAGCAAGATTTTTATCTATTCTCACTCCCATAGAAGTAAATGCAAAAATGTTATTATAAGCACGAATATTACAGCGAAATTCATTTCCCACATCATCAAGTCTTCTAAATAAATCTTCTAAGGGTGCAATACATTCAGTCAAAGCTAATCTATTATAGGTAGAGATTATATGGGGTGCCTTATATTAAAAAGGCCCATTTTGACATATAGTTTATTTTGAGATAATTGAGTTTAAACATTTGTTTTGATTTTCGAACTGATCCAGGATTAAGTAAATTTCATGATTTTGATTAGTTAAAGGTAGCAGGTGACTATCGGGTAATCTTGTGATATGCCCGGCCTTTGGCAGCATCATGTAATTTTTCTTTTACATTATCTCCATTTTTTATTATGCAAATTGACCTTTATTTATAATTGAAAAATGTCAATCATATCAAAATTTACATGAATCTAATAAAAACTCAATTTTCTAAAAAATTGCAAAATGTGCTTTTTAATATGAGACACCCTATATGGCTAGTTGTATTCTTCAAATATGTATATAGTATATATTTTATACTACAGTATAAAAATTAAACCATAATTAAATAAAAAAATATAATTAAAAGATTACTTTTAACAATAAAAAAAAGTTATTTGAAGATTTTTTTATTTATTTATTTATTTTATAATTAAATACTAGCCTCTTTTGTTTATCAGATTTATTAAATATATAAAATCACTATACTTCTAGAGATTTTAGATTTTTTTTTTTTTTTTTAAACTTTGGCTAGAAAAGCCGATAAAGCCTTTATTAGATCTATTCGTAGATATATACATAATTTTTGAACTATATTACAACTTATTACTAGGCTATGCTAACCTAACTGGCGACCCAACCTTTATCTGGCTGCTCTAATGGGTGCCCAAATATATCCTAGTTGCACTACTAGCACGCTATGGCCGAAACTAACACTAGCAGTCAGGGTATCTCCCACTCTGGAGAGACATTGCCATTAAACCGCCTATTGACAGGGAGGATCAGACCCGCATCTGATACTACTCCTGCATCTTATAACTACTATATCTAGCTAGACTATATTCCCTGCATCACCCACCTTTTCGCTTCTATATAACTCCCAAATTGGTAATATTCAGGTTATAGATCCTGATGATCTCCCAGTTTGATGTGCCATGTTATTAGCTCTTCTAAGGAAATTCCAACAAAGGTCCAGGATCTGCAGGAACTCGTATCTCAAGCCAGAAACTGCTGCCTAGTTAGGTTTGCCACATGACAGAGTTGGTATTTTATTGACGGGTATTCCCTTCTACATTTCTGCCCAAATACTACTAACCTGTATCTCAAGCCAGTTTCTGCTGCCGCAGTTTAACCACAGATGCCCTAGGTCTTAATGTTATACAGTTGCTCAGTGCATTCCTCCATTCTTTTAAGTACTACCTGCTATGGTGGGGTTTAGAACTTATTTCACAAGTATACAGGACAATTTTGGTCGTATCTAGGGAGTTACACCAACCCCAGTGATGCCATACTACCATATTATACTTGCTTCCAGCATGTTATCATACAAGACCAGGACAATTCCAGTTATATCCAGGGAGTTACACTGACCCCAGTGATGCCGTACTACCATTTGAATTGTAAACCCCAGAGGTTGGTAGATCCTAAACTTGTTTGTCATAGACTTCCATATAGGTGTGACCGGAGCTTAATTCGGTACTTTTACATGTACTCAGAATGTTAGACAACCTCCATATTCTTTGCCTTCTATAGTATTTTCATTCTGCA